GTAAGTCAATTAAAAATAATTCTAAACTTTCTTAATTTAAATGTTTGATATGCAGGCATATATATATTTAAAGGAGAGAGGAGGTCGCGACATTGTCTAGGTGGCCTTTTTTTAAAGTGATATCAGTGGCATGCACATTTGTTTTTATAAAATATTTGCAGAACTTTTTTAACTATCGTTTTATCCTCATGACTAGCAAGTAGGCTTATAAGTCATTTCTTTAATATCAAGGGGTCCATTGAGCTATTGTACACGTAATTAAATGGGGAAGTGGTTTGCTAAAAGTGCATCTGAACTCGACAGGAAGGGAAGGTTAAAGTGGCTCAAAAACTGCAACTTTGGCCCTTTGATACCTAATTTTTATCGGTTTTAATTTTAATTTTGCATGTCGTTGTTAAATGTTAATCTTTGACATTATTCTTAGTTATTTACTATTTTAAAAATGAATAAAATTAGAAGAAAAGTCGATTGGAGGAGGAAACAATTATTATAGTTCTATGTAAACATGGTGAGATGGTAGCGTTTACATGTTTACTTAAGTTGTTAACTTGTTGCTTATCGCAAGAAAAGGACATTTGAGATGATATTTTATTATTTACAGATGAAATTTTTAACAGAAATAAGAAACAAGAAATTTAATTTACGAACATTTAGTTATTATAATGATGATTCCCATATTTATTCTCTACCTTCAGTGATTATCTTACTTTCTAAAGTATCTTGCAAAAAGTATTCAAGTTTAATTATGCATTATATAAAATAGGAAAAGAAATAAGAGAATGCTTTCGTATATTTAACTTTATATTATCGTCTAGGTACTGTACATATACGTATAGGATGTTCAGACGTTCGTGTTGTAACTATACTCTGTTGTAACATAAAGAGCAACAAAACAAAATTTCACCTGGTGTGGACAAAACTAGTAGGAGTTATTACTTAAATACACTTAAATACACGTAAACAGCTTTAGGCTTTTATATTAAAATCTTTCTTTATACGCTACATTCTGAGTAAACACTCTATTATGACCGTAGGGTCAGTGTCTCTTTAACACCGCGTCAGGATGTGACACCACCGAGTCTCTCAGGATCCGGAAATCGCGACGGAGAGTTCTTACGTCACGCGAGCGGTCGCGGGTAAGCGGTTGGATTCGTAGTAGAGGTGAGGAGAGAGAAGCGAGGAAGTGATTTACACGGATTCCAGATTAATAAACAATAACAATTTAATTTCAACGGGAAAGAATACAAGATATACGATCCTAGACATCTCAAATTGATATAGGTATGACTGCAGTTATCGAATCTAATTGTCGCGAGAGAGTGTGTTTACAGGATATTCGCGTGTGGATAAATACCTTATAGAGAAGTCAAGGCTTGATGACTTGATGACTCAAACACGGGATTCTTCGGGTGATCGAAGGGTCTTTTTATTCGAATTGTTCGGGTAACAATCAGTTCGGGAGAGAGATATCCGACTGGTGTAGAATAAATCAAGAACTCGGGCGTGATAGGTATCCGTATGTTGATATCGACGGAGGCACAGTATTTTAGCACACTTTGGAGGCGACTTTTGTGGACGAACTTTTGGAGGAGACGAACTTTGGAGGACGACTGACGGGGGTTTTTCATCGCCTTCCCTTGTTATTTGGGTTCCTCTTAGGTTTTTTCCATGAGGTCAGGAGGTGGTTGTTAAGGGTCTGGCGTCCAATACTTGAAATTTATCGAAAGTTCCGGGTGACACACTAATGACTAGATGGATCATCCTCAACAAGGAACCAAGTCCGTGGGAACTAATTTTTATGGATTTTATCTTAGCTTTTGATAAAATGGAATTAAACGTTTGAATTTTAAAATGATTAAAGTTTAAAATAACACTTTCATCTATTCGTCCTTCACACTATTATCTTTTAAAAGGTTTCCTTGCTGTCTTCCTTTAGTAATACACACCTTAATATTGTTTCGGTTTCTTGAAAGGAATAAAGCAAATTAGAGTTGACCAATTTTACTCTTATGCTTTCCCCTAGACATTTTTTTTAATACAAATAATAAGTCTTTTTAATTCCACTTTGATAAAACAAAGATAAATTGTACGCATGTTAATTAGATGAGCGATAACACTTTCTAAATAACGGGCTCTTTAGATCGTTACTTCCGATTGAATAATAGAACGTCACGTGGTCACCATGGAAAGTGACCACGTGACAATTTCCTCACACATGAACATGTGAGGAAATTGTCCGTAATATTAACAATTAAAAAAAATAAAACTTCCTTTCCGTTTGTCAATTTCCCGTGGCGAGATCTTATCTCACAAGTGCACTCATCTCTCGGATCCCGTCACATGCGTAACAAATTGACTCCCGATTGGAAGAGATTTGGGAATGAAAGGGGTAAACATCCCAGTTTCGTGGCACCCCCGAGATAGTCTTTCAGCGAAGATTCTCGATAGTTGCTCCGACGTTAGAATTAACCAGCATCCGAAGACATCTGACTGTTGACAAGAGGTATGATGCACTAAATAATGTAATCTCTCCCTCTCGGTCAAATAGAGGTGTAATTAGGTAAAATATCGATAGAGAAATATGTTCTATTTATTTGATTCTATGATAACGATGTTACTGTTCTCTGTATGTAATCTCCTATTCATTTATATGATTAAAATCTTTGTTTATTGTTATCGGAGCGAGGCGAAGCCGAGTGACGACTAACACTTGACTTCATGCATCCCTTGTCAACATTATAACTCTAGAATGAGTTGTCCGATCTTGATGAAATTTTCTAGGACGACTCATAATCACTCAAGGATAAACTGATTAAAATTTCAATTCTCAAAAATGATCAATTTTTGTAGAAGTGGAGATAGGGGTCAAGTATTCAGTATTAGAGATCAAAATGAGCTGACTAAGGCTACGTCCTATGTGGCAGCGTCTATTTATCGAGGCTATTTATCCAGAGATGAACTTGATCCGTTCCAAACGGTAGTAGAGCTATATCAAACAAACGAGCAAGTTAAACAAAGCAACGAAGACTACTTGCAATCAACTGGGTGCCTTGTTGCTTATATTCCTCCACTCCAGATATTGCCCTGCCTTCGTCCAAAGATGATTCGGCTCTTGGTCTCTCCAAGTATTTGAATCCTTCAGATAATGCCAGAATCATGCTGAGAGTCAACTTATGGATGCAAGGAGGTCTCGTCAATGGCTCACTAGGAACTATACGCTACATTATATATGCTCCTAATGCTTGTACTCCAGCTCTTCCTGTGTTTATTTTAGTGGAATTCGATAGCTATCAGGGACCTTTCATCTATGGTAATTTGTTTCCAATAATCCAATAAAATAATAATAATGTGACAATGTGGATATGGCCAGTCTAAATTCTTTCACTCTTTATGAAACCCCATTCTAGGTGCCCAGACATTGCGCTGATTTATCTTTTATTTTATATTAACATTATATATATTTTAATATAATAAACATTAAAAAGATTGACAGAAACCACATCCTTAAAAACTGCTGAATAACGCTACTCTTGTTGAGAAAGAGGATGTTTAGTTTCCTTTCTCCACTCCTTATCGTGATTTTAACCAAACATATGGAAGAGTGACACAACTGATCATCCCGTCAGATAATAGATTTCCTCGAATAATGATTAGATGGAAAATATAGATAAAAAGGTAAATTTTTATAGACTCGGGGCTGTTCTTCACCGATAGAACATGCCACAACACCTCTTGCTCCACCGTCCAACCTCCTATTTCCAAGAACCGGCTATTCCTCGTCCTCACTGAATCGGCCAAGAAAAAGGAAGATGTACAACGAGGTAATATAAATTCATTGTAAACTCTCTCTCATACATAGGGAACTTAGGACTAGAATATATTCATCCTTGTATGTTTCTTTATTTGTTTTATTAAATAATTGTTGAGTTTATTAATGGTCTCCTCTGTTATTGTCTACACCGATTTGCACAACCCCACAAAGAATTTTACCGCTCGAATTCTGTTAGATTAAGCCATCCAGTGACAAAGTGAGCAGATCCTTCAGATCTGACGATTAGAGGGCCTTGACCCCTCGTCCGTATTCTCACAATAACATGCTCTTCGAAACGATGGAAGTATATTGCTATCTCGTAGACAATTTCCCCTTACCTTACTAGATGACTATACATAAATCACAGGGATTAATTAACACCCAAATAAGGGCCAGTTTCCCCATAGAAAGATCTCCCGGAAGACAAAATTGTTGAGTTGTCTTATTCCATCCATCCAATTTGTTTTCTAGTTTTTAACGAGTTTTTATTCTAAATCCGTGAAACTGTCAGCATTAACATCAAAAACTACGATTATATGTTCAATTTATTCATATTTTCTTCTTTCTAACGACGTAAAATACTCTTGGAATTCTAAAAGTGCTTTTTCTATGTGTGTTTTATTGTTATGTGATTCAAAAAAACGCAAAAATAAGCATATTATATTTAAGAAACTCGCGGTAAATTATCTCAGTTTACACCGATTAACATCGGCTTGGTGTGAAATTTGAGTGGAAGGTGTTATATTAAACGTCGGGTAAATGGTCAGTGTAGCTCACACTAACTACTACTACTAATGTCAATAAGTCGTTAAATGTTTTATTGTCTTGTGAACGAAAATTCTCTTACCGATTTTAAATCAGTCAGAATTACAATGTTATATTTAAAAGTCAATTATAACTGGATATAAATTAATAATTAAAATTTATTTTTAGGATTGGGATCGGATGAAAGGAAGACCGGCTCCTTCAGTTACCTCGGAATTAGTGAAATCTCGACAGAGATTCAAAGCAGCTCTAAGAAAATTAGGAATAGAAAGAATAAATAGAGTGCCAGAACATAGATTAACTTCTGCTTACAGAGTATTTAGATTGAACGATTAAAAAACAACATTTATAGTAAAAAAAAACATGTAAGAAACTAATTTTCATCATCCAATTTAATTATTATTTATTACAAATTGCATATTTTCTATTTACTCTGAAAGTCATAATAAGCATCTTCATTACCATTACTCTAAGAAGATAAAATTCGAAATTTGTATGCCGATTGTTGTACAGCAGAACCTCGATTATCCAGACTAATTGGGGATGAAGGTAGTCCGGATAATAGAAAAAATAATAATTGAAAGACATGTACATACAGTATGAATAATTTTTATTTATCTAGATTTACATATACTGTAGTTTCAATATTAAATTATTTTTTTATTAAGAAATTCAATTATCGATTTTTGTTTAAAGCTAGCTGTTCTTTTTGAAGCTGCTAAATAGCGAATACTTTTAAGACACATAAGTTGGTCCCGATCTCAAACCACTTCATGGAGACATCTAAACACTGAAAAGCTTCAGAATGTGTAGGACTAATATCTCTTCGTCTTCTTGATCTTGTTCATCTGAGGCAGATATTTCTTTAATTATTCCCTCATCATTCAACATTTGGAATCCAGGATCGTTCGCATCGCAATTTAAACATTGTATAGATGGGTGGGACGGTGCATTGTCTAGTAATAATAATGTTTTTCCTCTTTTATCTACGGAGTTTTGATATTTTTTAACTTCTGGAATGAATTGCTTTTCATACCATCGTTTAAAAATTTTTCCATTTATCCAGGCTTTATTTCTGATGGTCATATTCAACCGGAAGACTTCCGATATTTTTAAAGCATCTGGGTTCTTTGATTTTCCAATGACAAGCAATGGGAGTCTGTGTCTGCCTGCTGCATTGGCACACACCATAATGGTGACACGTTCTTTACTAGTTTTGTACCCTGGTGCAGTATTTTCACGCCTTGATGGTAAAGATTTGTTGGGTAGTTTCTTCCAATTTAAACCGTTCTCGTCAGCATTGTAAATAAATTTTTCGTCGAATCTTCCTTCTCCACGAATATCTTCAATGAAAGTGTTTGCTGAAGGTATGTCAGGAGAAAGCTTTTCCCCGTGAACTTCAAGTTCCTTGATACCATGTCGTCCTTTGAATTTTTCAAGCCATCCTGAACTTGCTTCGAAGGTGGGATCGCCATTTAATCTTCTATCGAAAAATATTGCTTTTTCATACAATAATGGACCAGATATTGACTGTCCAGATGATCGTCTTTGTATGAACCACATAAACATACTCTTTTCAACTTCTTCATTTCCTGATTTTTTCATAATTTTACGCTCTGATGTTCCATTTTCTGGCATTAAACTATTAGTAAACTTCATAATTTTTTCACTTTCTTTTTTTATATCTGAGATCGTTGACAACACTATATTTATTAGATAAAAGCGAGGTTGCGGCCGAAGTTTTCATCTGTAAAACGTGAACATCGAACGTCGAGCGCCGCTTCTTGTAAGTGGCGCTCGACGTTCGACGTTCACGTTTTACAGATGAAAACTTCGGGCGCAACCTGGCTAAAGAACGTCCAGACTCACCGCATTTCAAAACATTGATTATATCCAATTTGTCTTTTAAGTACTGTAATGCATAAACCTTCGAGGCGTGAAGCCGTAGGCGGTGGCCCACGTCGCCCATGCCTTACGCCGTCCTTGGCCATAGAAATGATGTAATTTGAATATAAATTATTTATAAATATGTATGTCAAGTTATATTTTTATTACGACGCAAAATATATTAAAAAGTTTAAGACCACTGTGCCGGGTGAGACGTTGTTGGAACAAAAAAAAAATTATGCATTCTATCACAATGTCGCAATTCGCCAAGTGCAAATCAGTAAATCAGTAAAATTTTTATTTTGAACAATCCGGATAATCGAGGTTCTATTGTAATTTTATAAAGTTTATAAGCTGATACGGATACCAATTCCAAGGGGCAAAACGGGCTTTGCCCCTTGGAATTGGTAGGCTAGTACCTATGTAAGTTGATGTCATTAAGTAATACTTAATTCTATTTCTTATTCATGTTTTTTAAAAGTAAATTTGTCTTCCTCGAAATCAAATTTTCATTATAAAAAATTATTTGAGATTTTATCTACAGGAAATTCTCGTTAGTTCGAAATTCAAGGGACGAAATAATTGTGACTTCGAATTATCCGAGATTACATATTTCTACACAAAATGCCAAATGCCATGTAACTGATGTAATTTAGTAAGCAAATGGAATACGGTTACGTATACAAAACGCTTATTTTTGCTAATTAATTAATAAATAATAATAATATAAATGTGAAGGTAAACGGCACGTGTTCAATGAGGACCTCATAGGTTGCCAGATAGGTTTTATAAAAAGTAAAGCAGAATTCCTCGAAATGTAGCTCAAATGTAGTAGCTTAGAGCCCTATAAATATCTCAATTTGCTACTCGTAGCCCAATCTCGCAATCCCGAAACCCAACCTTATTTTATGAAATAAGTGAAAAAAAGGGTAGTCCCGTGGGTAAGGTGATACCCGAAAATGTGTTACTATAAAAGCAAAGCCATATTGACCAGATTAGAGTTGTTCTCGGTCTATTGTTCTCGTATAGTATGGAGGCACTTCGATCTAAACTAACGATTTAACGTACGCATATCAAAGCTCGGACAGAATTTTCACTTCGAATTACGAAGTAGCCGTATTTCGAACTAACCGAATTCCTTAACATGAAAATCTCAATATCCTCGGTGGAGACAAAAGTACAGTTACGAACTCTTAAGAGTTCGAATTAACGAGGATTTCCTGTACAGTACACTCCCCTATAACACTGTTGATAATTCTGTGTTGTATGAGTCACTTAGATTTTACAAATACGCAAGCCGTTCACAGCCTGGCACAAGTATTTGTAAAATCTAAGTGACTCGTACAACATGGAATTCATATAACACGGAATTATCAACAGTGTTATAGGGGGAGTCTACTGTATCTGTTTTATATGAAGTATTTTGAAATAAAAGATATTTAACGAGTAATTATTTATTGTGACATTGTCACAATGCCGGGCTGCAATTTTTAAACATATTTTTAAAAATATAAAATATAGGTAGATTTTTAGTATCATCTTGCTCCTGTACATCATACTTTTCCTGTTAACAATAAGGTCGTGCCGGTCATCTATCTAACTCTATTTAGGGAAAATTTTTGAATTGAAATAACGCGAATATAGTTAATTGAGGTCTCCTGCTCTTAAGCTTTCCATCTCTGGTCTCGACTTTCATTTATCTAACACCATTTCGAGATAAGGAAGTGCAGACAGATGGGCGACGTTGGGAATTTATAGGTTTATAACTTTTTCAAATTACAGCTCAATCAATTAAGTACAGTAAGTCATACTTGCAGTCATAATGTATGCTTAAAAGAGAATACTATGTACACCATAAAAATAAAAATATCACTTAAGTGAATAGACATTCCTGGGCAGAAATGAACAGTTCAGTTTAGTTTGAATAATACAATACAGATAATGTAAAATGCAAACAGAAGAATATAAAAATGAAAAAAGAAACAAATTAGTTATAAATATGAAAGTTTGCTTGTTCTTAATGGGGATGCATCTAGTCTGAGTGGCTGACGTAAGTAAATGACAACATACTTTGTGTTAAAGGCATGATGGAAGTGACAATGCTCTTGGTACAATAAATGAATGATTTTTGGGCTGAAATTTGAAAAATTGTAGAGCTATAAATTTCCACTGTCATCCGTCTCTCTCTCTCTCTGCCCTCCTTTAATCTGAAGAACAGAGTTAGAAGTTAAGAACAGATATTAGGGGCAGGAGCCTCCCGATTAACTATATACAAATTTCTGGTGCAAACCAGAAGTCACATTATTTCAGTTCAAAACTTTCCCCTGAAAGGAGTTAGATCAGTGGATCTCAACCTTTCTGAGGCCATGGAACACCATTCATATACTTTTTATTACACAGAACATTAGCATCAATACATTCAAAAATTGATAAGCAATTCCATGTTTACCATTCTCAGGAAACAATGAAGCAATAGACTGATAAACTTTAATATATTGAATAAAATAGAAACATGGAATTATCTACAAATATAGCAATGGGAATAAATTTGAACAAAAACTTTAAAATCTTTTCTTTCGTGGAACACTAAGTAGTTTGCAGAACACTGGTTAAGAACCACTGAGTTAGACAGATGGCTGACATGACACTATTGCTAACAGAAAAACTATGATTTACAGGGGATTACTAATTTGAGGCGGAGAGCATATATTTTAAATTAAATAAATTAAAAATATAATTAAAAATTGCAGTCCCGCCCGCATTGTGACAATGTCACAATAAATAATTTGCTCATATTGATTAAACTGGTTTACAGAGTATACATAACAGGTTCTCAAGGACCTAACATATAGAGCAAAAACATCCAAAAAAGGTCAAATATTCCAGTCATTTATCAATATCACACAAATATTCCATGGGGCTGTTTTCGCATATAGACTGACCACTGTTAAAGCCATTGATTTGCCTATTTACATTCTTGATGACTGTAAAGTGAAACTTTGTCATCAAGAATATTTACATATAGCTCAATTAGGAATTAAGCTGTAAGTAAACAGCATTCACTTGAACATATCTCCTGATTAGATATACAACATGGATGATACAAACTTGTGTGAAATTTTATTGTAAGTTATATTGATGAAGGGACTCAGTGAAAGAAGGCACTTAGTGGATGGCAAACTGTTTTAAGTGCTAAGTACTGTACATAGTTCTTTTGTCCTTCTACAAAAAATAATCAGCAGATGGTATGAACAAATAGATTTGCCTTATTATCGAATAGCACTGGTATAATTTCTCAATCACGTGAAGTGAACATTGAGATTAGCTTACATCAAGTTGTTCATCATAATCAGGTAAATCATTTAAACAAAAATGTAAATTTATGAACTTTGTTTAAAATATTTGTTTTTATTAGGTTGAGCATTCTTGTAAGACAGGGAAATCTGGTGTTCTAAGTATGTGGGGTTCCTCCCTCCATATGGTTTTCTCATTGAAAAAGTTCAGGAAACACTTGAATATTCAAGTTTTACAACCATAAGTATTTATTAATGTTGGAATTAAATTTAGAGTAAAAATTGACGAATTGAATGACCAACTTGTTACAGCAAGGGGCTGTTTAAAGAAGAGTGAACTAAATATGCCAAAAGCTGTGAGAGATCTGTCATATAGAATTATTTGAACTTCTTACAAATAAAAGCAAAAGATGCAGCAAGCATACAGAATTGTCTTGCTGCAGCATGTCCTGCAAGATGCTTAACAAAACACAAGTAAGGATATGGAAACAGGTCAGCAGGAGATATTTGCATTTGAAAAAGAAAGTAATAAACTCTTAAATATCCTAATATGATGTCTAAGGTCTAAAGCCAAGAAAGTGTCACTTGAAGTAAAAAATGACATCATCAAAATATAAAATTAGTTACATTTTTAGAATAATAAAATTACTACTTATTCACATATATGTAGACAACTTGATAACCTACAGTCTAAAAATTTTTCAATTTTTCAAAATCATATATCTTTACTTATTTTTTTTCTGTATTTACAATTATCTACTGTGTATCTATGTAATATTGTGAGAAACCATGGGCCAAGGGTTAATCCCTCTTGACCACTTACTCGGCAACAGTCTGCAAGGACCGCTAATGTTGTTGTTCCGGATGGCATTTTATCAAGTGGCGAGGGAGGTGAGGAAGTCAGGAGGCATCCTTTCAGAGACAGGAGACAGGTTTAACAAAATAACAAAGCATTTATTATATGGCTAACACTAAAATACAGGAGGCTACACAGAGTTAAATGCATATCTTTAGGTTATATAGGCTAAATATGATTAACATAAGATTACAAGTCTATGATGAACAACTACTTGGGTCTATTCTATGACAGCTATGCCTACTTCCATTTCGAGAGAGCGTTTGCGGTCCGCTGATAATTACCTCTGAAGTTGGAGGAGTCCTATATGCAGTGATAACAGTACTTTATGGAAGCGTTGGGTATTGTCGATGTCTTCTACAGTGTGGGAGACGAGGAACCACTAAAACCAAATATAACTTCCTTGTGCAAACTCTCGAGCTTCCAGTGGCTTTTATATCATTGTTGTGGGAAATCTAACACATGATCAACTTTTGTTGACAATGATGGTGCATTCTTGACATCTATGTGTCAACTTTCCATTGACTTGTTACTACAACTTGTACCCTCTGATCTAATTTCTACTTCTCCATTTTTTTCTAACAAATATGTTTACATTTTAACAACTGACATTAACTTTTTGGATTTTAAGAGCCCCATAAAAATCCACGGGCTCACAGTATCAATAGAAAGTTTTCTGGTTCTAAAACTTACTACAAGAACAGAGTTCCAGCACATTCTGGCCCAAATATACCAATGGTAATGTTTTTTAAGTAGGAGTTTGTCTAATACTATTCTGCAATGACATCCTAAAATCATTTTTATTTTTTTTTAGTTTATTTTAATATTTATTAATTTGCTTTATTACTATTATTATTGGTTTAAAAAAAAACCAGAAAAAGTGATATGATAAAGCAATAATTGTTGTTAGGTAAATACCAGTCGACCCCCCTATAACACTGTTGATTTTTCTGTTTTATATGAATTTCATATTGTACGAGTCACTTAGATTTCACAAATACGTGAGCCATTCACAGCCCAGCACACGTATTTGTAAAATATAAGTGACTCGTACAATATGAAATTCATATAAAACAGAAAAATCAACAGTGTTATAGGGGGTCGACTTGTGTGTTTTAACACACAAAATTCAGGAATTCCCCTGTAGTATTTTGTTTTTCATTTCACTTATTTTATAATTACATCTTAATAGAAGTGTAACAGAAAACAGTTTTTCATTTTTTTCTTTCCACCTCGTGGACTCAAACAGGGCTTTTTTCCATGTACTTCATAGATTCTGTCAGGCCCACAATGGGAGCACCAGGTGGTGAGGACAAGATCCAACTTATCCAGGACAGATCACCCACAAAAAACTCCTTGGTTTGACAAACTGAATTCAGTCCTGGATCCCTAGAACAGTAAGCTGATGCCTTAACCATCTCAGCCATCCATCATGACTTAATTTTATTCATTCACGATAACAGTAACTGAAATATGAAATTAACTTTTTTAAGTAAGTTTTTTTTATTATAAAAATTTCAATTTGTTAAGAAAATTAATTTAAAATGAATTAATGGTATTATATTCATTTTAAAATAATTTTCTTTGTAATTTGCAAAGAAATTTATTCAAATAATGCATTGCAATTTGTATTTGCAGATACTAAAATGTCAATAGATAATCTGGATTGTCAATAACAAAATTTAAGGATTTGTTGTTATTATTTTACACATTTATAAAAATCTTTGTCTTATGATTAATAATTGCAAATAAATTTAATGTGGCTATATTTTGGTGTAGCAATATCAATGATAAAGAGAATAGATAAAATTTTTTGACTGTCTCTTTAATCTGTAATTACTTTTCTTGTGAAAAAAGTTGCATTATGAAAGTATTAATGTTTGTATTTCCTGATAAACGTTATTTTAAAAAAAGGCTGAATTATTAAAAATTTTTTCAAATATTTTTAAAGCTCTTGTAGGTGAAACTTTATAATAAATTTATAAAACTGAAGCTGTTTGATTAAATACTCTATTTAAAATGTTATTTATAATTAAATAACTACTGATACTATTGATAATTAATATAATTTTATTATATACAATAATTTCTCAAAAGAAAAAAAGTGAATAGTACATTTTAAATGATTTAAAAATGATTGAGCATTTACAAAATGATTTGTATTATGATATTACATATCAGAGAGACCTGGTAAACTGATAGATACATTATGCAAATTATCTGACGTTGTTTTCCTGAAAGGAAAATGAGAATTATTAATATTACTGTAGTCAACTCTGAGAAATTATTGTAAGTGAAAAAATCCTACCTATCTTCTACAGTATTAACTGGTTTCTTTTTCAAATTACGATGCTGAGGGAAAGATGGCATCAATTGTGGTTCACATGCTTTGAAAACAAACAAACATTAATTGAACAATTTCAAAATTAAAATTTATATTTGAAAAAAAAAAAAAAAACGTATATATACTGTATAATTCTTTTTACATACGTAATGGTTGTTCCTTGAAATAAGAACTCTGAAGGCAATCTTCTGCAGTTGCTCTATAATTCAAATAAAATATAAAATTTATAAATTTTATTAATAATTTTAGTCATAAATTTTATTTTCTTTCTAACGAACATAAAATCTAGATATATGAACAAAAAAAAAGATATCACAAGTTTATACAAGTAAGTATCCAAATGAGAAATTATTTTATCTATTGTCTATTAATAATGTGATAACGTTATTAATGAAAATAATGTGATAAAATAAAAATTAACGAAGTAAATGTGACATGTATTTATTACACTTGTCAATAAAATTATCACCATATTTCTATCACTGTCCTCTTTATTTGGAATGAATGATACCATTTTAAATTACTGTAATTATTATCTGAGTAGAATGTAATATACACCAATCTATATAGTAACTGAGTTTCATCTCCATCTATATTCAAACATCCTGTTGTCTACTGCGTCTAAGAAGCATCATAAACAAAAATGGCAATTCCACAATAGAGAAGGTGTTTTGTGTTCTGCAGTTCACAGAGTCAGAATCAATCATCATTGTGCAACACGAGTAATCTACAGGTGTTGTAGAACTATGTGAGGAGTAACAAAAGATATGCTGTAGCATGCATAGGAAGAATTTTAGTGTTAGTTAGATGTGTACTGGATAACATGAGATGCACATATTGAGCAATTGTAATGGGCAAATGTGAAATTTGGACAGTTTTCCAATGTTTTAATGTACATTATAACATTCTAAAATAATAATTAACATGATTATATTAATTTGAAATCCTTTTTTTGGAAAACCCTGGCTATGTAGAAACCATTCTAATGGAAACTGAATATCTTGTTTGCTTTAAAACATTCAAGATGTTCAGTTCAATGGTTTTTAAATTGTATGTAGGAATTATTTTATATTTTTATCCCCTGGTGACTGACTTAGAAAAGCTCTGTAGTACTAATAGAACACTAAATACAGTTTTTAAATTAAAACAAAATCAATTTAAAATTAGATTAAGTTATTGCTACAAGAAAAATTCAAATTATAATATTGAAAAATATACAAATATTTTTAATAACTATTGCATCATTAGATTAAACAAACAGAATTTATTGTGACTATGACAGAATTTCAAAATACTTTGGCATATTCATACTAAATTTAACAAAAAATAAATGTAAATTATAGTTTTAAAATATTTAATTAGAATCAAAGTTATTTTATATTAAACTTCTAAAATATTACATAGCTTACAAATATTTATCAGATATAATAATAGTAATAGCTAATAATATAGAAGATATACTCTACAGCAAACTTCACTTAACCTTGTTAATAGGTTCTTGGAAACTAATGTTAAATGAAACGATTTGAACTGAGTTGAATGAGTGTTTATTTGTACAGGGCTATAAACAAAAATACATGACTACTTTAAACTGGTGATGTAACTATAGGAAGAAGGAAACTAAGCTAACCCAATCTTCAAACATCCTATAAACAAATTGTACACAAAATTCAATAATGATTGATTAGATAGCATAAAAATTTACAAAATTTTATTGAATGTATAATTTTATTTATAACTGACTTGTTGGAACATCTACATAAAACATTATTTTTATGGATATTTTATGATGTCATAATATTCAAATCCTTCATGTCACCTATTGTCACATGTTCATCCCCTCCCACCTAAAAAATTTAATGTATCAATAATAGACATTTGTAAGATTTGCTATCAGACAAAAATGAAGTACATATGCACATTTCAACCTACAAATTTTAATGTATATTACTGGCACTTTTAACATGCAAAAGTATATGCATATATTTTGATTTAAAAGCATATAAATCTGGCCCTTAATCACTAATTGAAATACAAAGACTAAGATTTAAGTTCTGTCAAATCAGAGAAGCAGATCATTTTCTTTTTTTTTTTATAAAGTATGAAAAAAAGGATTGTTCTTAACACCTCTTCCAGAAAATCTGTTTATAATTAAGGTTCTGACTTTAGAAAGAAATACTTGAAACTATTGAAGGAGTCACAACTATTTAATACAATTAAGTACTTTTCAGGATTTAACCNTGTCAAACTTTTAGGCTTACGGGAAAGCGGTGCCGAACGTCACACGTACACGTTTACACGTTTAAAACGTGTGCCTCAACCTCTCTATTAATATTTTGATGATTCAAACAGAACAACTGCACATGCTTACAAACTTTTGAATCAAGTTTATGCTTTTGAAAAAACATAAGTTTAAAATTAAAAAAAAATGAACTCCATAAACCGGAACTTTTAAAACAACATCTGAGGTGTATAAAACAATTATTATAAACTGGAATAATATTAAATGCTCATTATATAACATAAAAATAATTATGACTCCTTCAATACAGATTAGTTTTTAATATTTCTTTTTTAAAGTAATTCCATGTCATTTGTTCCTGTTTCATGTTAAGGTTACAATATATTCTGAAAATAGAAAGACATTCTGTTTATATTTTAATACCTTACTTATTTTTCTGCAATATAAAATATTTGTTTTATCATATTAAAAATGTTAAGAATTCTTATGCAAACGAGCAATTATTTATTGTGACATTATCACAATACCAAGCTGCATATTTTTATCATATTTTTAATTTTTTAAATTTAAAATATATGCTCTCCAAAGCTTTTGTTGGTTCCTTTTAAATTAAATATTAAAAGAAGGAAGATACAAGCAATTATATGCTCTCCACATCAAATTACTTGTGTCTTGCCCCCTGTACACCATACTTTTCCTTTAACAATAGAGTTGTGCTGGTCATCTTTCAAGGGAAAAATTTTTGAATTGAAGTAACATGACATCTGGTTTGCACCATATCATTGTATATAGTTAATCAGGGCCTCCTGCACCTAAGTTTGTCGTATCTAGTCTTGTCTACATCTATCTTCTCCATTCTCTTCTATCATCTTACATCCATCTAACTCCGTTCTCAAGAAAGACAGACAGATAGATGGACAACAGTGGGAATTTATAGGTCTACAATTTTTTCAAATTAAAGCCCAAAAAGAAAAATAATGAAGTAATTTCAAAGGTAAAGTGTTATTGAATAACTGATGAACATCTGTGCAAACCTCTTAATTAATACACACTATATAATTGAAATGAATTAAAAGAAAATATAAACAAGTTCTCGGATTCAAACTAAACTATATTTTAAAAATTAAATACACTCTTTTCTAGACTCTTGATATAGCAAACTACAATTTTTGTTGGTTTTTACATAGTGAATGATTTAACTCAGTCTGCATCAAGACCTTTTAGTCTACATAAATATAAATAAAAACTTCAATGCAATCATTTTTTTTTATTTAGCATATATTTTATATGTAAAATATCATCTAATCTATTTTTATATCCAAGATTTCTTACATTATCTTTAGAAATATATAAACTTCTAGATTTAAAAATAAAATAATCATAATTAAACTAGAATATTTTAAAGAAGTTTCTTAAAATTATTTCTCTTAAAAATAACTTTAACTGGAATAAATGAATGAATGATTCAATAATAATATATTCCATTTTAATAACGTTTATATAAACTTAAAAAAACTTTATATTCCAAAAATAAATCTTTTAATTGATTTTTTAATTTTAAACTTTACTTTTAGACAAATAATAATTTTTAAACAGNTAAAATAAATTTAATTCTTTACTTATTTTTTATTTTTGGCTTTTTCTGCCCCATGAACATTAAAAGGACCCTTTTTTTCATATTTATCATATATTGGGGGCAGTCAGATAGTGAGGAATGAGGGCCAACATATTCAGGATAGCCTACTCATACAAATTTATTATGAGTAGGCTGATGATAGCCCAGAGAAATAGGCTGATGTCTTTTCCTCCTGGGCTAACTGGCCAGCTAACTCTCTACTTTATAAGGAATTTTTACTTACCATAGATATAAAAATTTCACTACATTTATTTATAGAAAAGTTTTATTTATAATATATAAAAATAACTAAATGTTGGAATTACCTTTTCTTTGGATCATACATAAATAAAAGATTCAATAAACGAATTCCAGATGAAGATAACCAAGGAAATATATGTTTTATGTTGTTATATCTGAATAATTCAAAAAATTTATTTTGTTTATAATTTATACTTTTAAATAAAATTTTATAATAAAAATTACTTGAATTCAAACTTACGGCTGTTGTTTGAGAGAAAAATTTTCTAAAATTGGTAATTTGGAATATCCCTGCGAAATAAAATATATATAAATAACCATAACTTTATTATAAGTTTTAAACTAAACATTGATTTAATTTTATTGTAATTATTTGTAAAAATACCAAACTATGAGATATAGTTAGTTATACTTCTTGCTTTGGTATGAGAAGTTATATTATTTTAAGTTTTAAGTAATGATGGAAAATTGTTTGAAAATATCAACTATAATTATTTAACTGGAGTAACAATTATTCCAACAAGCATTAATTTCTCTAAAAGCGACATTATTTGATACATAATATTAAAAGGATGAATATGGAAATAGTTTTTTTATTTAAAATTTATTTGGTTTTTTTTAAAATTATAAAGTCAATTTTAGTGACTTAATGTTCTTAATATATTAATCTATCAGAATTAATGACAGATGGGAAATGATACATGACCAGTATCTAATACATAGAAGTTGAAGCAGTTTGCCTAAAGACATTATTTTTTAATATATTTTTAGAATAAGTAGAAATATTAAAATGAAACTATTGGATAATTATGAAAATAATGTCAATTAAATAAAATAGGCAGTCAATGATACTGAGTTTGTTCTTTATGAGAATATTCTGTCAAAAAAAACTAGTTTTAAACAAATTTTACTTGTTCAGTTTATGAACTACTTTGCCTTTAACACATCTACTGCAAAGATCTTTGTAAATACAGTCAAACCTCAATTTAATACATTCATTTGTTTTCTCTCTCAAATTGGCTACAACAAATGTGGAACTAAACTGAAAATCTTCAAACAATAAGAATTATGTACAGTGGCAAAGCTTATACACAGATTTGATTTTGAGACTTTAAAAGTCAAGTGTTTTGGTGATAATGCCATTTTAAATGCAAAATTACACAATAAGTCATAGATGGTGAAGGATTCTCTAATATTTTATATAAAACATCTGTTCAAAGTATATATTGATGCTTTATAAAGGTGATGCTATTTAGGTATTAATGACTGTTGTGTTTGTAACTGCTTTTTTTCAGTTTTTATTTGAATATCTTGAAAGAGAAAAGATTAATTTTCATAACTTTGAAAATATAAATAATTAAGAGAACTTCATGAAGTTCTCTTAATTATTTATAATTTGTACTTGAGCAGTACTGAGCTATTTAATACATTTTTTTCATGTTCAGCAGAGAGGTAAAAGAAGATACTGGAAATTATACAGTAATAATGGAAATATTCATATTCTATTCTTTCTATTGTAATACAATATTGCTTTTTATTTAAATCAATACAATATGTTTTGATTAATTGGGACTTCTGTTTATTTGGGAAATATATTGAAAGATGGAAACAAGAGAGATAATATAAGGCAAATTTACTTTGCTTATTTGGGACATCCTGCTGCTTTATCAAGGCAGAATAAGCAGCAAAAAGAAGCATATGGTAATGGGCTGGTGTTAAAAACCAAATCAGAACAGTTAGCTATAAAAATGGGTCATGCAAATTTCAAAGCTACAGATGGGTGGTTATTGAGATGGAAACTAGAAACTAGACCTGAATAAAATTTGAGAGAGCAAACAATGAAAAACAGTGGACATTACAAGCACCAAAGAGTGAAATCAATTAAGTTGCCTGAATTGCTACAGAAATTTAGTCCTGATCAAATCTACAATGCAGATGAAATGGCTGTTTTAACACACTATCCAAGATGAAAGGTGTCAAGATATTTTTGCAGAAATTTATCAAGCATAATTGTTCTTTTTTTGTTTAATGATTATATTTTAATGTGTTATTTTTGAAATTGAATTTATTTATTTATTTTAACAAATCAATAGAAAAGTCCCAAAGGACAGTTTACATACTTGTATTCATACTAAATATTAATTATTTTTTCAATGAATGGTTTTTATCTTCATTGCTCACATTTTTATCTTAGATTTTTGTCTGTTCTCTTAAAATTTGCTTTATTAGGACAAATTAGTCCAAGTCCAATGTGTCCCAATTAAGCAGAATCAACCATATTAAAATATTATAATTATTTGTCAAAATCCTCTCCTTACATTTTTATAATGATATAATGATAGAAACATTACATTTTACATTATTTATTGTTAGTAAATTGTATCCTACTCAGTTAATCTTGTATTTAGTGCTATGTAGAACCAAGATGAAAACAGTTATCAAAAAACCTGTTATGTGCTGTTATTGTGTTTTTTTTTTTATCAGTATTTAAGATTTTTTTGAGTATATGGCACATGTTTAGTATGGTAGATTTCTGTAATGTTATTTATGTGCTGTTGTTAAGACAATGTTTTAAAACTTTTATATATTGTATGTGGTAAATACCTAGGTAAGAAAAAAATCATCATAATAAGTACCTTATCTATATTCTTTGCAGATGTTTTATTTCATGTGCAAATTCTAAATACTTACTAATTTTTCAGTGTATTTTGATGTTGTGGGTGTTTACTACAACTATGTCTATGATGTATGTGATTTTCTCTTGTTTATCAATGAATATGATGTCTTCTTTTCTGTCTGTGATTACAACTTGGCCATAGTATACAGTTTTGCGTGTGTTGTTTTTTCAGCTTGATGGTGATGTGTATTTGTAGCATGGTAGCCGGGTGTGTATAATTGTTCGTATACAAGCCTTTCGTGTATTTTGTTTGTTTAGTTATGTCAATGTAAGTAATCTGTTTGTGCTACAAATTTGCAACACAATATGATATGCTGTATAGGTTCATGTATGATAATGTATCATGTATACTTTTTATAATTTTTTTGTATTTATGACCTGATATTGTAAATACAAATATAAACATCCAATAACTCAATTTTCAATTAAGACCAAATGACTCACTTTATTATAATCATGCTATAACATAATAAATAGTAGTCATATTATAGCCCTATATAATCCAGCTTTGTTTGGCCTTAACTGGTATTGTATAGTAATATTGAATCCTTCCAGCTCACCACAGAGGCATCTCTAAACTAGTCACAATTTGATGCAGTTTTATTAACATGATCCTGGTTAAGATCATTAGATGTCTATTGTATTATCATGGAAGTCCTTCTAGACCCAAGATTGTTTGATTGTGTATGTTTTTTGTGTATTGTATTGTATTATATTCAGGTCAATTTTGTGCAGGTTTAATAACAAGTAGTAGTAGTAGTAGTAGTAGTAGNACTATCGTCTTATCTGTGCAGATATACAGTAAATAAAATTTTAAAAATCTGTTAACTAAAGAATTCTCAGACACATCTCTTATCATTTTACAGATGATTACAGTTAAGATAAATGAGAATCTATAATTAAATGTACATTCAAATTGCTATTATTTTAAGATTCTTTTTATCCAATGGTCACTAAGAGGACTTTTTAAACCATATCCATTGTGGGTTCAGCCAGGACAACAATGGGGTGGCCAACTAGTGAGGGACAAAGTTTGACATATAAGAGACAGACTGTCCATAAAAAATTCTTTGATCCCAAAACTCCACAGTAGTAGTCTGACAGCTTAACCACCTTGGCCATCCAACTATCTGAATATTTATTTTTAACAAGTAATTTATTCTTTTGACAAAATAAATAAATATGTACAAAATTAAAATCTAATCAGTTGAAAATGAACACAAAAAATATATAGGATTACAAATCAATGAAACCAAAATAAAATTTGTTAAGCTTACAGGCCAAATACTATCATTTGGAGTTCCTAACAAATCAACAATAAGTTCTAACTGATGAATTTCTGATCTCCCTGGTAGAAGTGGTTTATGTAATAGTAATTCTCCCAAAATACAACCAGCTGCCCTGAAATTAAAATGAAAGAAACTAATATTGAAATTTCATTAATATTCACTTAATGTTCATAATAAATAATTTTAATAAATTTATTATTACATAAATAAATAAAACACTCTAAAATGAGTAATTATAAATATACATAGCCTATTTAAATAAATTTTAAATTTAATACAAATATAATATAAATACTAATAAATGATTCCATGAATAATAATAGGAATAAACTGATTCCAAGACAAACTCAAATGACAAAAGTCTATAGGGATAAAAGATTGTATACTGCTTTACAACTTTGCAATCAATTTTTATTTATTTAAAAGAAACAGAAGAAAACTTAAGTTTGCAAAAATAACATGTAACCTTTATTTTCAGTTTACAGATTATGAAATAAGGTCAGCTTCAATATTTATGAAACTGTATAAACTTTTCAATTATACATGTAACTGCTTATCATGTAATTTGAATAAATTTGTGAAAGTGCAATACACTAATAATATTTATATCTTATTTGATAAAATTGCCAGGATAATAGTTGTAAAATTAATAAATAATTTAAGAATACAATGACGAGTCTTTCAATGTCCTTTCTCACTCTGTCATAAGACTTATTTTCCCGAGGAGTGAGAAAAGATGTTGAAAGACTTGCTGTTGTATAGTCTTAAATTGTTTATTAATTTATATCTTAAATATTTTAATAAAATATAATCAACACTATACCTAGTGATGAACAAAGCAAGTAATAGAATTTCATTGAAACTCAAATAATTTTTAAATAAAAATATTTATTTGAAATTTATAAATAAGTAAAATGCAACTGCAAAATTCTCAATTATCTATATATTAATTGAAAGAGGGTTTCAATTTTTGAACTTTGAGTAAACAACTGGGGCTAAAAATATGGTTCAGGTATCCACTTAAAGCTCTTATCCTGTAGATGATGCTGCTGAAGAGAGATTTGAGAAAGGTACAATGGTTTAGGTGTGGGGAAGTGGCAAAATTACAAAGTCTACAGGACAAATATGTTGGGAACTCATGCAAGTTGTTTGACTTTACATTTTGAATGCAAAAAGTCAGTAGTAGAAACAACTTTCATTTTAGTGACTGTTGCCATAATGGAAAAGTAAAGTTGTATTTCATCCATTCTCATGAGGTTCTTGAAAACTTTCTGCACGGAAAAATCTCAACTACTCAAGAATATGTTGCTAGGTATTCTTGAGATATCCAATAGAATTTCTGCACATGATTGAGATGAGTGGATATCAACCACACAAGTTAACATTAAAGATCAGAATTGTAATCATGTTCACCATGAACCTCGACACAAAAATAGGGTTGGCTAATTAATGGAATAAGATTAGTTATACAAAGTATGTTTAACAACACAATTAACATCGAGATCCTGATGGGCAAACACCGCAGAACCATTCACATGCTTCCTCAAATACTACTAACTTCAAGAGAGAGCATTTTCCTTTTACAATTAAATGACTTCAATTTCCCATTATCCTGGCATTCACTATGGCAATGAATGAAAGCTAAGTAAGGACAGATGCTTGGTGAAGTTGGTATTTATTTAGCAGAGCTGGTTTTCAGTCATTATATTCTTTGTGTGACTCTTTCCTGACCCAGAGAAGTAAAAGCTTCTATACCTTTCAAAATATTCAGACCAAATTTGGTATGAATATTCTTCAAAACCCTAGGAAAAAACTGTGGGATCCCATAATATCAACACTCAAAGCTGTACTATATGTATTATATATAATATTTATTATTATTTAATAACATTCCCTATTAATTTTGGCTCAAGCAATTTTTTGTTTTGCAGTTTCATTATCGCAAATACTCAGATCAATAAACAAATTTTAGTTACTAAGACCATTGCTTTTATCACCTTCTCCCAACCCAACCTCATCAATCCTCCACCTCCTCAAAAGCCCAAGAAATGCAAGCACATGCGGCTAGTTATTATTATTTGTAGTTTGTTTCTTTTCAATTTTTAGTGATTTTCATGTAAATCTTTTTCAAACATTAATAAAATTACCCACCTCATAGTATAGCATTTTTTGAAATTTAATCTTTATACCATCTTTAAAATTCATGTGGTACATAAAATAATATTATGCTTAGTTTTTTATTTTAGCAACCCCACTTAGATTTGCCATTCCTGTACATTATGTATTATATATAATTATTATTATTATTTAATAACAAATTCATGATAAGTCAGACTTTAATTTGGAAAGTTTTTGTAGTTTTTGACCCCATCTTGCATCTCTAAAATGTTAAATAGTACCTGGAAAGCCTAACAGAGAGAGAGAGAGAAATTAATATCACTCTATCCACATAGTGTGCTGGCCACCTCTTCTATATACTCCTTTCCCAATGAAAACTTAAGTTTTATCATTTTTTTAAAATAAGAACTGATTGCAGAAGCTAAAAATAATTTGTATAAAACAACTTTCATAATATTAATGATAATGAAGACATATATTGTTTTGTCCAATAAAGTTTTGTACACAAGCTTTTGTTTGTATGAAATTTTATCTGCATAGGCTTTTGTACAATTCAGTTTTTATCTTTGTACTTTAGCCATTTGAGTATCTGTCCAAAATTTTATTAATTTGTACAAATTATTTCTCACTTCATGATGTGAGAAATAAGATATGCATTTAATATTTTAATTCACTTAATGCTTCTTTTTCATATAATATTGCTTGATCTTCATATTAGACAGCAGGAAGGAAAATTCACTGAGTATGGCATTATTAATAGCTTTTTATATTGCTAGTGCTTTCAATGAATCTATGTTCATTGTTTTCAGGCAAACGAAAATTTTTAAACACACATTCTTTTTTCCAGTTTCAGAAGGTCATATTAATGAAAGTTTAATATATATGAATGTAATAAATGTAATTAATTATTTCTTTTCAAACATGATATATGTCATTAACATATTGCATCTCATTGTACATAAAAAAATTATAAACAAAATCACATATAGAATATAAAATCATTTTAAAATATTGTATTTTCTTAGTTAATTATTATTATTTTGTAAATTTAAAACAATACTCCAGTTTTCAAATTTGAAGATATAAATGAATTACTTATTTTATTTCTTATATACTTACCACATATCTATAGCTGTGGTTTGAGTTTTAGACTGTAATAGCAGTTCAGGAGCTCTATACCTAATAAACAAAATGAACACAATTTTTAAATAATTATTAATACTTTTTATATTATTTTAAAATGAAAAAATAATTTTACCATAATGTAACTACTTTAGGAGTCATTGGTTTTACAGGAAGACCATATTTTCTAGCCAGACCAAAATCAGCTAATAAACAGAACTTAATGCATTTATGTAGCTTACAGGGTTTTTTTTATTAATATATATCTTCTATCTTACCAATTTTTAAGCACCCCTTATCAGTCAGAAGTAAATTGGAAACTTTCAAATCTCTAA